CAATAGATTTTTATGGCTTTACAGTAATTAGTTAGATGAGTCTCAAATGCCACTGTGTATTCACACTTGCTATATAAATCACATTCACAACGTCCATTATCTAAACATAAAAACATTATATTTTGCCCATCACTGCTTTCTCACAACTTGGTTTAAAAACATAAGCTATAGCAATAGACTCAGTCTTTCAAGAAAGTTTTTAATTTCATTTTTAAATTACTCTATGCTATTGAATTATTAATTTCCTCGTACATACAAATGGTAAAAGGCACACCCACTATCCAAAGAAAATATACAGCAGGGAAAACACACAAAAGGGAAGCCTGTGTTCTAGAGGCAAAAAGAAAGTTTTCAGAAAAAAATCATTTTCTTTCTTAATTTCATAACTGATTTCCAAGATAGACAGTTTATGAACTATGAAAAAGGTCTCTGTGTGGGAGGGGGTTATCTGGAAGTGACAGCAGTTGCAATGTACTCTGCTCCTATGTGCCATAGAGACAATCACCTCAGCATATCCACCACAATATCTTCAGATGCCAGCTGATGGTGAAAGTTTAGGGTTTTGCTTTGTTTTAAACATGCTTTGTAAATTCATTTGAAAGAATTACCTGCTTAGGAATGTCAACCAAAGAAGAAGCAGCAAGCAGAGTGAACGTGTGCAGAGTAACAATGACCATCTTGGTGGAAGGATATGATGTTACCAACTGCTGAAGCAGCTGCCGGGAACTGGAGGCCAGGCTAGCATCATGATGCATGTGCTGCAGAATAGGGATCAACTTCAATTTCAAGTCCACAGGTGTAGCTAAACCTGTAAGAGGGAACAGAGACATTGCCAGGCTGCTGTACTGGCTTTTAGTAGTACTAAGACACACAGCATGTATTACTAGCACTGCTATCAATGCAGTCTGTGCAGACTCCTGCATTAGCTTCAAGTAACCTGTCCTCTGGCTAGCAGCTTAAGCACAGCAATATCAAGTATATTAAGAGTACAGGAGTGTTCTGAAAACTCAGATTTTGAGAGTACATGTAGAAGAGGTATTGGATTATTTGTTACCTAATTTAGCTAAAAAACTGGAATTATTTGGGGATAAAGGCAATGGTATAGTGATATTTTTATATATGTATGTATAAAAAAGAACTCTCAGATGTCACTCAGTATTTGTACATACCTTGAATCATCTCACTGATTTTGTTACATATTCCTGCAGCAAAGTCCCTGTAGAGAAAAAGACAAAGCACCAGGTGAAATGAAAACAAATAGATTAAAAATCAACAGAACAAACACTGCATTTTAATAATAAAAACCACCACAAGAATGCTTGCCAAAACTTAAGCTATTTTAGAACCCCTACACAGGTACATAACCAAATGATAAAAATGGATGCTTCTAAATATGTTTCAAAGTTTTTTTTAGACTTGAATTCAGATTTCCCTACAGTACTGTTATGACACATAACAGCTGTGAAGGATGTTCTAACACCACTGAAGAAAAATACTAAGTTCTGAGAGTGACAGTGGAGTTCTTATCCTTTGTAATGTGAAAAATAGGGGAAAAAAAAAAATCCACCTTACTTTGACTGTGCAGAAAAGTTAGCAGCAGCAAAAATAGCAGCTTCAACTTCCACATTATCATGGGAATCCAAACTCTGACGAATACTGTGATGCGCATTCTTCCTTTCTGGAATAATAGATGCCATGCTGCCCAACATCCTACAGACACAGATCAAGCACAATGAATATGAAGTAATGCAAGATGAAATCAAAGAAAAGTGCAGAAGGACTGGTTTAAAGTCTTGATTTTTATATAAATGAAGGCTCTTATGTCCACCACAGAAAAAGACACACTGACAGTAGGCATATAACTAAAACATGAAAATATTGGTATCAGTCTTCTGTTAGTCATTTAATAAAAACAGACAACAAAACAGTAACCATATTGTAGTATCATTAGTGGAAAGCAGGAATTGTTATAAAACTAGAAACACACTATGGCACAGGGTACACTGAGTGTTTTTGTTCAAGCTCTGATATCAATGCCACAGATTTAATGCTAAAATGTATTACTGCATGCATACACAAAGTATACATCATGAAATTTAAAAGTCAGACATTTGGTAGTTTAGGAGAACTAAAATAGCACTTTGAAAGTTGTTTCCACCTTTTCTATCCTTCCCATTAAGTCTTCAAATTGAAGTGATACATGCCTGAGAAGTCATAAACATTAACCAAGTATTAAGAAAGCAAAACTTCTAGAGAATCACTACAATGAAGCAAACAAACATCAGGCTTTCAGCATTTGTTTCTAAGATCCTTTGCTGGTCTGAAACAAAGTTACTATTGGGAATAGCACAATACCTTCTGTTTAAGCAACAGGAAAAAAAAGAACAAATTCAAGTATCTGTACCATCAATCACCTCACAGATAGTTTCAGAAATGTTTACAGACAACTGGAATGAACACAAGAATTTGCACCAATGGTAACGTTAGCAAGACTTCTATGTAAGTACTTACACAGAACTACCTGGCAACTTACTGTGCCCCTACATAAAGTGTTGCTTTAGATCTTTCTTTCAGCATGTCCTTTCTTACTGACACTACTGGAGAAGGGCCAAACTGAAAACTAGAGCTGAAAGTGAGAGCTACTGCAACCTATCTTTCACCTGCTGCATCTTGGGTAGTGATTTGTAATTAATGCAAACTAAGCTAATTCCTGGGACTTCTGGCTGTCAAGATAGCCCTCAACACCAGGCAAAAAGCATAGACTTACGTTAGAATACTGAAGTGATACTACAACAAAACATATAGATACACTGCACTCTCACATTTCTGAGATCCTAAAGCAACAAAACATAATTTCAAAAATATAAAAAGAAATGGGTGTATGAGCTAATAAAACAAACCTCTGTTAATGACTCCCATCTTTCAACAGAGAGATCAACAGTTCTGGATGGATAGGAGAAAAGAATAAGCAAGGGAGAAGGAGTGCTCTGTTCACATTTTAATTCAGCTGCACAGAAGTTGAAGATGCAGAAAAGATTATCATGTTGGGTACCATTAAAGATACAAACACCAAAGCAGCAGGACAGCAACATTAAAGATATCTTAAAGTGTGGGTGTTTTTCACCCACTGGATTCCTAAGAAGGACAGAGAAATCAATAGCAGAAGTGCACCTTCTTAGACATCATAAGACAAGCAAGCAGTAGGCATCTAGGACAACAAATGAAGAATAAACAAAAGTGTGACAAAGTTCACACAAATTAGTTTAGTTCACAAGTTAACAAAAGTTATTTTGACATATATGGAAGTACTTCCCTTTTGGTCTTGCTCTAAATATATCACGTAATGCATGTAGGTTTTGTATAGATACATCTGGGTTACACATACAATGATTTCTTTTATCTTGGGAGTACACACAACATCTGAATATCGCCAATCCCATCTTGCCTGGAGCCATCTGCACAGTTCTCACATCACAAATACAAGCATGCAAAAACCTTGTTCTTCCACTTACAGATCCCCACTGCTCATTCCCTGTGAGATGCCCTGCTTTTGTCTTTATGATGAACATAGAAGACAGCTCCTATATTCTGAGTAGTTGTTGATTTTGTTTAGAACAGATTAGCACACCAATAACGAGTTACAGCTTTGAAGTAAGTCAAGTTCATTTCTGTGCTACATACCGAAGTGTGATAGCCCGAGCAACAGGGTCATTGCTATGAATCACTGAGAAAACTCTCTTCACAAACTCATCCACATTGAGGATCTTCTCTAGGTGCTTCTCACTCTGCTGGGTAACTTTCAGCACGCACAGCCTCAGGAAGTTGTTTCTATCAAAAGACACGAGCTTATCTTTACTGAGCTGTTTGAATCTATATTATCAAACACTTCTAAACTAAATGTATTATGAAAAACTTCAGACAGTTAATCACAACAAAGAAGCTCTGTGCTTTAGAAATGGTTCGAGTAGGCTGATACAGTTAAAGATGGAATATGAATGCCTACTATTTTGTAGCACAAGGGAGAAGTTTCCCATTGCTTCAAAGCACAAGTAGTGTACAACAAACGTGGGTCCAACACTTCTGAAGAAATGAACACAGTGATAGCAGTGACATGGGCACAGGCACGTGTCTGTGCTGCACACACTCCCAGATGTGATTCTACTGGAAAACTGTGGCAAAAACTGAGACAGAGAAACCCAACAGCCATTGCCAAGCATGAACGAGTCTGTAGTCCTTCCTGCACCCAACGGCAAAGATCCCACAGCAGAAACAAGGATGTCTGTGTGCTACTGCAAGCAGCTGCATAGCAGACACGGCTCAGTTAGGCTCAGGGCACTTGGAAAAGCTCAACTTGAGGCTCTGGTATTCCCCTTCCTCACAGAAAGGACCTGCAGAGTCGACCATTCATTTATTAGTTACGATTTTGAAGTCACCTACGGAGAATCGCCCCCAGTGAATTAAAGCACGCCACTCACCCGACCCTGAAGACGTCGGCCAGCTTCAGGAAGGCCGAGTTGATGAGGATGGGGAAGGGATACTTCTGGAAGAGCCGAGGGAAGCGCACGACCGCCTCGCACTGCTCGCCGAGCTTGCCGGACCGCAGGCCTACACAGAGCAGCACAACGCTGACTGCTACAGCGGCACCCGCCGGGCCCCGCCCGACACCCCGGCCTCGCGCTCCCTCAGCCCCGGTGCTCACCCTTGTCCAGCTCCATGAGGGCGGAGTTGGCATCCAGCTCCTGCTCGCCGTACCCCGCGTCCGCCAAGAACGACTTCCCGCCCGCCGCCATCGCGAACCCCGCTGCCCCGCAGCGCGCATGCGCGGCCGCCCTCCCGCCACGGCGGCCCAGCGGCACCCGCGCGCTCCTCCGCCCGCGCCAACAGCAGAGGCCGCGGCGCGGGCGCGGTCCGGGGCCCCCGCCTCTCTTCCACCGCCCAATCCGAGCGGAGAGAGGGCGGTGCGGCGCGCACCCGTCGTCCAATGAGGGAGCAGAGATGCGTTTGGCGGGTCGGTCGGTGGCGGGAGTTTGGTAGCGCTCCGCCGGTCCGCGGGCTCTTGGCCATGCTGTGCCGCGCGCTGCTCCGCCGCGCCGCCGGGCACCGTGAGTACCGCGTGTACCGCACAATGGGAGCTGCCGTGCGGGGAGCCCGCACCGCAGCTGGGAGCGGAGTGTGCGGCACCCGGGCCCTTCGCCTCCCGGATCGCAGAGTTCGGTGCGGACACTGTCCGTTTGTCTCGTTTCAGGTCAGTCTTCACCGCTTCCCCTGCAGCATCTCTTGGACGGCTATAAGTGCAGCCGGGAAGATGATCATCTCTCCTACGGAGAAATCGGAATGCCCGTCCCTCCCTTCGGCTGCAGCTTTTCTGCAGGTACGGCCACATGCCGGGATGCCGCGGTGTGTGGATCCCTCTGTAAACTCGTTTCTGTTGAATGTTTCAAGATCTGTTGGCAGGGTTCAGTGTTAGTGTGAGCTGGTAACAGTGAACGTGTGCCTCCACGTCCTATATGTTGGGTCTTGGAGACCTTAGGGGTAGAACTTTGGTGTGCTGTATTCTGGTTATGCTGTGGGGTTATTACAGAATCGCAGACTGTCCCAAATTGCAAAGGACCCATAAGAATCGTCGAGTACAAGCACTGGCTCCACGCGGTACCACCCAACAATCAGACTGTAAATGCCTTTCTCCAAGGCAGCTTTCTGCTCCCCTATCTCACATCCAAGGAAAGCACTTGGAAAACATCCAAGAGGATAGGTCATAAAGATGTACAGGAGGAAAGGAGCTGTCACCAATGCTGTTGAAAGAGGGCACTGTCTTAGAAGTTGCTCCTCGACCCACTCTATTTCCCATACACAACAGTTTCAGAATGGAGTGTCTAGAAAGAAATGCTTGGCAATTTGCAAAATTTCTGCATTTTGAGAGTGGAAATCGCTGTGTAAATGCTATTTTTTTTTTTTACAGCTATCAGTTTGGTGTGCGCCCCACTTAAAGTGCCTGTACTCCCCTCACAAAGGGAAGAGGCACAACTGTGGATCAGCCTTGTAATAGACATTTCAAATTTCTTTACAGCCCCAAATTTTGAGCACATATTGGCAGTTGCAAATGAAGAAGGATTTGTCAGACTGTATGATACTGAAGCTCAAAATACCACCAAACTGATCTCTAAGGGTAAGTATATGATCTTCATTTGAAGCGACAAGTATGGGATGTGGTGGAACCAAAGAAAACTTTATGCAGGCTGTTTAAACTTAATCTGGGAAGTACTTGCATCTTTTCATGCTTTGCAGAGTCCTGTTTACAAAGCAGCCATGTGAGTGTGCTCTTACAAAAGCAATGGGAGATGAGTGGTTGTGTGTTTGCCATGCCTCAGGGAAGCTGCTAACAAGTAACCTGTTTTCAGCTTCTGATGTCTGATGTTCATTAGCCTCCTGCAAAATACCATCCTGCTGAACTGAACACGTGCACTGAACTAATTTTGGCTTTTGTTCTCTTGCCAGAATGGCAGGCTCACTCAAATGCTGTGTTTGACCTTGCCTGGGTACCTGGAGAGCACAGGATTGTAAGAAGCCTTTTCCTATCTAAGTTTATTCTTAATGCTTTGGCAGTGATGTGCAGAATATGACAAAAGCTTTTTATTCTTTCCTCTGAAGGTCACTGCTTCAGGAGATCAGACAGCCAAGGTGTGGGACGTGAGAGCTGGGGAGCTGCTTGGCATATGCAAAGGTCATCAGTGTAGCCTCAAGTCAGTTGCTTTTTCTAGGTTTGAGAAAGGTAAATGTTGGCGTTCCCTCCTGTCTTTTTTTTTCCTTCTTCTTTCCCACTACCACTTCTATCCTTATGGGGCTAAAAAAGGGCTCTGGAATCTGTTGGTTGCACATAGCACAGGTGGGCTGAGCAGCGACCTAACCAACGTTGTAACCTTGCAGTGATCTGATGATGTCTGCAAATCTCTGATCTTAGGGAATTTTAAGACATGGCATTGAAGTCATTTAGACCTTACTTACAAACCTGGGAATACTCTTTGTAAACAATTTTTTCCTATGATTGCACTAAGGAAAGACCATAAGGAAACTAGTCAGAAAGCACCAAAGGCCTGGTCATTGTAGTTCTAGGGGCACGTAGATGGCATTATGCTGGATTCAGTTTCTCAACTTTTGGGAATTAATAGCTCTCTCTTTCTCAGCTGTTTTCTGTACTGGAGGCAGAGATGGAAACATCATGGTTTGGGACACCAGATGCAACAAAAAAGGTAATTGAACTTTCAGATAAGTATTAATAAAGCTCCATAGCTCGTATAGAAATAGTGCTCCAATGTACTTATTGGAGTATTGCTTTTGATTACAGCATAAGCAATACTTTGGTAAGAAGATTATCAGGTAATCAGGGACTGCCTTAGTGCAGTGAGAGTATGGAATAGCTAGAATAGGTTAGACTGTTTAACATGTTTTTTCACTTTGCAGTTGTCTCAGACTGGCAGCTTGATGTCTATGTTGCCCTGATAACACCCTGTGTATTGTTAAAGAGAGGCGTACAAAACACATCATCAAGCACTCAGATGGGCTGGGTGAGACCAATTCACTCAGAGCCATTGGTGGTGGGGAGGAGGTAATCAAAGCTGAAAAGTTTCCTACCAGTATAGGAAGGAAGAAAGGAGATTGTCCTGAGAGTCCTGGGAGCAACTGAAGGTGTTGTGGGAAAGTCTAAGTGCAGGGTGATTGTTCTACTCTTCTGCTTCTGGAGCTTCTCCCTCACCAGTCAGCTCATGATCTCGTACTTTCAGTTTCCTGCCACCAGCAGTTTTCTGGAATGTGTTCTCATAATTTTTGGACACAAGTAGCAGTTGATGTTTTCAGAACACATTACTGATTTTAAAAGCTTGTCTCAGCTGCTTTTTTGGGATTTATTCCAAGCTGCTGCCTGTTACGTGAAAATGGTGGCAAAATTAAATAGGTGTAGAAGACTAACAATTTATATGTATTTGTCTTTCAGATGGATTTTACAGGCAAGTGAATCAAATCAGCGGAGCACACAACGTGGTTGACAAGCAGACTCCTTCCAAGCTGAGGAAGAAGAGGCAGAACCTGAGAGGACTTGCTCCCTTGGTGGTAGGTGCCATGCCAGGAAGACAGGCAGAACAGAGGCCTCTGCTCTGAGGACAGTGTTATGCATAGTGGCCTTCCTAAGTAATTGCAGTGAGAAATATTTGGCTTGAATTCTGTAAACACTCCAATTTGTCTTTGCAGAGCTAGATTTTTGTGTCATGGTCACTTGCTCTGGCTAATTTTAGACATTGTTGTCTAATTACTCACATGCTATCAGAGCTGTCTTTGTGTAAATGCCATGTGAAAATACATCTTTTTTTTTCCCAGAGAGAAAAGGAGTGGCTAATATTTCTGTTTTCGAAGGGTGAGAAGGAAAGGTTCCAATTTTTTTTCCTTCCTTTCCCTTCTTACTCCCTCCACAGTGCACCTCCCAAACGTGACCACATAAACAGCAGCCTCTCCTGAATAAGATCTCCTATTTCATCTATTAAATCCTCTGATGGAACTCTCTTATCTCTGACCTGTGAGGTGTAATCTTATGCTGACCACTCCCTGTAGGTCCTTTAACCACATTGCTAAGCAGGGTTAAAGGTTTATTGTCTCCTAAGTGAAATCTGGTGTTTCACCTTCTCTTGCCTGCAGTGAGCAGCTTGCTGGGGAAACACAAAGCAAACTCTGGCAGGAGGGAGCCCAAGAAGCTAAGGCTAATTCTATAGCAAAACTCAGTCTGGCCTATGGCCAAGAGAAGTGTAGATTGGCTGAGAGATGGTGTCCTCGATATTCACTTGGCCTTCAACTTAGCAGCAAGATGCTGCTGACCTTGAAATGAAACAAAGTTCCTTTTTCTCTCCTCAAGGATTTCCAGCAGAGTGTAACTGTGGTGCTGCTTCAAGATGAGCATACTCTTATCTCTGCGGGAGCTGTTGATGGGTAAGGAAGGAAGATGCCTGCTTTTCTGTGCTTTCCTGCCTGTTTTTCTTAGTGACACAGAAAGATTGGGAGATTTTTTTTTTTCCTAAGATCACAAAGCTACAATTACTACATAGCTTGCTCCAAAAGTAATGCCTCCTATTTATTTTCATGAAAACTGTAACAGGTATGTGGAGCACAGTCACACTATTTGTAAACAGTGAGCAAATTCTCAGCTACAAAACACTGCTTTCCAACATAGTCACCACCATTAGCTATGCATTTTTCCCAGTGATGAGCAGGATACTGCATGCTGTGCCCATCTGCACCAAGTATCTGCACCAGTAGAGGTAACCTCTATTACTGTTGCCGCTGCTGAAACATACCTCTTACTGCTTCACTGTGCTCACATCCATCATTTAGACTCTAACCTCCTCCTCTGACATCATGGGCTAACATAATAAATAGAATGCATTACTTTTGGGGCAGCCCTAGTATTAGGTAAAGTTAACAGAACTTGCTGCCTGATTAGTTCTTTCCTTCCTTACCCAAGATTGTTGTGCTGGAACAAATTGTGCCTAAACGGTAAATATTCATTTTAGTGTCATTAGCTATGGGGCAGTGTGAGAACAGTTCCTATCATCTGTGTTTATTTTCATGGACCTGTTAGATGGCAAGTAAGCAGACTATTGTTAGACAAGGAGCTGTTTTGGGTTGTGAGGGGAAGATTGGGGCCTTAAATTTGTGCGGATGTGCTTGAGAAAATGGTGTGTCGAGTTACAAAGGAGGCATTCTTTTAGATGCCAGATCTGTTGCAGCATCTTGGAGCTCAGGAAAATGTCTTGCTGTTTAGCACAGAAATTAGTCTTTCAGGCCTTGATTATATAGCAGGTTTCATTGTGGTCAGAGCCTTTCTGAGACACGTAATACTGACTCTCCATCCCATGGTTCATGATAGAGGCTTGCTCCTAGAGAGCAAGAGAAACCTCAAAGAGCTTCATCTTAAAAAACAGAATATAAAGGCATCCTTGTTATGTCCTTTTACTAGTTGAGGAAAGTTGGCTTGTGGGCTTGTGTTTTGTGTTGTGTTAGTTACACAAAACAATGCTGCTCAGCAGAACAATTGTGCTGTCAGCACATCTCTGCTCTACTCTTGCCCCGTTGTGCCATCACTGGGCATTCCTTATTAATGAGCAACCAGTCTTCCTGTGCATTTAGAAGGCTCTGTCTGCACTGCAAAAGAAGGTTTGATTTTTTTGCAAGTTGTAGACACCCATGCTCGTATATTTCAGTGTGATCAAAGTGTGGGACTTGCGCAAGAACTATACTGCTTGCCGGCAGGATCCTGTGCCTTTCAAGTCTTTTTTCTATCCTGGAACCAGCACTCGCAAACTTGGTAAGTTGTTGGATAGTTCAACTCTATTTGCACTGTATCTTGCAAAGGCAACAGAAAGGATGGATTTTTACATCATGGTCTTTGAGAGCAGAGCAATACTTTAAACTGTTTGGTATAAAAATGATAGTGTTACTGTTTGTATTGCTCTTACTTTGTACCTGGCACCTTACAGTAAAACACAGTAATTGTTCACTTGTTTAATAACCATCTTGATGTAGTAATGGTCAGTATTAGTCCCAAGAACATGAGGGAAATTTTCAAGTAGCTGACTATGAAATAACTTGCCAACAGGGAAAGATTCTGCTTTAACTTAAATCATCAGCAAATCAGCAGATGGTGTAAGCCATCAACACCACCAAACATGAGGATTTATGTGTATTTTTAAACTCTGCTTCTACAATTGGATGTTACTGATATCCACTCGAAACTATCAAATAAGTTGTTTGCCTGCTCTGAAGTTGAGAATTCTCTCTGAATAGCACTCATGAGAAAATGTCAATGTTGTGCTAAAAACTTTTGTTCTCCAGCAAGTGTTCCAGCAAACAAGTGATCTTTCCAATGACAATCTCCTATGTGACAGAGATCCTTTCCAAATTTCCCTCTCTTGACATTTCTTTGACAATGCCTGTTTTCCAAAATGTTTTGACAGAGTTATTTATTGGGAATAACTTCTCGCTTTGTTGCTAGGATATTCTAGTCTGGTGTTGGATTCCACTGGTGCTAATCTGTTTGCTAACTGCACTGATGACAGTATCTACATGTTCAACATGACAAGTTTAAAGACCTTTCCAGGTGAGAATGATATCTGAGGAAATAACCCGTAAAAATAGTATTGCATACAATAAGGTTTCTGAGTTCATCCACAGGAGTAGGTATCTACTAAAATCAAGCAGCTGGCTTGCAGTAGCTTTGTATGGGCATGGACCCCTGCTTCAAACTTGGTCTTGATCAGCAGGGAAAAGAGCACTGTAAGAGCTGTGAGCAATGTGATGGCATAGGTGCAAATAGCTTGCTCCCAGCCTTAGGTGCTCACAGCACTTGCTGGAACCCTGGTGGAGCAGTTTTGCCAGGCAGCTCAGAGATGAGGACTGTGTTATGGACTGATAACTAGCATTGCTAATGAGATATTATGGAACATAGAAAGATAAGTTTCACTGCCTGCTTGTAGCAGTTTTTAATCTTTCAGTCTGATCTCTTAGGATTTTAGCTCTGAATCAGAGCTAAAGAGGGATCACCTCTTAGACTATACTGAGATATTTTAAGGTGTCTTTTAAATTTAATTTTTTGTGGCAGTTTCAGGGAGAAAGCATCCCCAGCAAGTAGTGGAGATGCTTTGTCTTTTTCCAGCTTTTTAGATTCCTTCAGCTCTGTGTCTGTGACCTTTACATCAGCAAGATGGTTTGCAGACTTCGGTGCACTAAAACTTCTTTGTCATAGGCCAATGGCTGCTTCTCAGAAAGCAGCCAATCTTATTAAATGCGTTCCAGACAGACATATGATTTAGTTTCCATTGCCTTTTCTCAGTCTTCTAGTTAATTGAAATTAAATGAACAATGTGTTCTTCTGTATGCTCTTCAGGAAAGCAGTCAATTGGGTGGAGATTTTGCCAAAGTGGAGAAGCAGTGCAAGTATTATATATTAGTAGGTCAGCTGTTGATTTAAACCCTGTGTGCTGCTGCTGAGATGTGGAAATACTCCCCTGGTCTGTTCCTCTTCAAAAGGAGGGTTGCAAAGATGGGGAAGAGTCTGGAGCGTGTGAGAAGTGGCTGAAGTCCCTGGGTTTGCTCAGCCCAGAGCAGAGGAGCTGAGGAGAGGCCTGATGGCAGCAGTAGCTCCTCACAGGGAGCGGAGGGCAGCGCTGAGCTCTGCTCTGTGTGACAGCGACAGGGCTGAGGGAACGGCATGGAGCTGTGTCAGGGGAGGGCAGCTGGGGGTGAGGGACAGGGTCTGCACCAGAGGGCGGTGGGCACAGAACAGGCTGCCCAGGGCAGTGAGCACTGCCCCAAGCTGCAGGAATTCAGGAGGCATTTGGACAACACTCTCAGGCATAAGATCTGAGATGTTTCTGATATTTCTGGATGTTCTTGTATGGAGCTGAGAGTCGGCCTTGATGATTGCTATAGATCCTTTCCAACTTGGGATATTTTATGATTTCCAAGAACAGTTTCTCTCTGCAGTCTAGGCCACCCTGCCACTTATTTCTACATTTAGCTGTCATCTTCTGCTGACTAGTGTCAACAAGTTAGCAAATAAAACCTGGACAGAAACTTCATTTTATCAAGCTGCCTGAAAAACGCAGGACTTTTGGGGAACTGGCAGGGGATCAGTGAGCTGGCCCTCCTGCAGAGGGCAGCACGGACCTATGGCTGGGGTGAGCTGCTGGGAGGACGCTGGGCCTCCTGACTCGCTGGGCTGGACCCAGATGGCAGCTGCTCCGATCTAATGGGACAACAGTGTTAGTTGGAAGAGGGCTGCGAGGAAATCCTTCAGTAATAGGATTTGCCTGTAACCACTGCGAGGAAAAAGCTGCACGTTAAAATCAAAGTACGTTGTGGAGTCTCACAAGGTTTCAAAGAAAGCCAAAGGCAACCATGTGTTCTCCAGTCTGTGGGTCACCTTTGTCAAAATCATGATGGAAAAGAGACTAAAATTCGTTGAACCGACTGCTAACTGCTCGTGGAGCCTACAGTATTCACAGTGTCCCTGCTTCTGAGTGCTTTGTGCCAGGGCTGGCCAAGGGCGTGCCAGCCCCACGTGGTGCTAAATCAGGAAAGTTGCCCTTTCCACCCTGATAAGAAGGCTGGGTGTAGCGTGGCCAAGTGCTCCAGATGCACGTTCAGCTCCTGCATTGGCCATTGACTCTTCCGGTGCTTGCAATAGGAAGAGCAGGAGCTATTTGGAGGCTCGAGGTGAAGTGTTACTGGGACGTTAAATATAGATGATTGACGAGTGTAGCTGACATGGAATACGTTTGGCTGACAACGAGGCTGGCAGCAGGGGAAAGGAGTAGCCTTGGTTTCTTCAGTGGAAGCTTTCTGTGCGACTGTCCTTGTTAACACAGTGGGGCTGGCTGGTGGAAGTGGGAAGAACAGCAAAGGGTAGCCCAGGTGATGCCTTGGCCTGGTTGTGATATGAGTGGAGCTGAAGCTTTAATAAACCTAACACATCTTAATAATGCTGTGAAGAGAACCTTTTGGGTAAACCTGCTTCATGCAGGGAGATGCAAAGGGCTCCTATTGAGTGATGCCTCCTGCTGCCTGCCAGCTGGAGCTCCCAGCCCTATAGCAAGGAAGCAGTACAACCGCTTTCTCTAGAATATACATGGCTAGGCAGGAAAAGCCTGTCAGATCAGCCCTGCTTATGCAACCAACACCCACAGCTGTGTGTTGAGTACTGTTTTTATTTTCATTGTTTTTTCTCACAGTGGCGGTTTTCAGCGGACACCAGAATTCTACCTTTTACATCAAATCCAGTATTAGCCCAGATGACCAGTTCCTGGTTAGTGGCTCAAGTGACTGCAACGCGTACATCTGGAAGGTGAGACATTTGGGAGAAACCCAAGTGTGTAGCTTCAGGCTGGCTGCCCAGATCTGCTCAGCTCTTTGGTTTCATTTGCTTTTCATGTTCACACAGGGCACTCCCAGCCTTCACTCCTGCTTAATGCAGTGCGGGGTTAGATCCTGGCATGTTGTGCCCAGAGTGTGCTGTCAAGGCTAGATCTAACTATTTAATGTAAAATAGAGCTAACCTCCTGCCATCAATATGTCTCTCATCATTGCCGGTTATTGCAAGTTGCTGATCTTAATCTGGTTTTAATGGGCAGTACAATCTTCTTTTGATCCTGTTGATTTAGGTGGCTATAGCAAGTAGACAGTTCTTGATTCATATTTAGCAATGGATTACATTAGAAAAAACTTAAATTTTAAGTATTTAAAGGGCACTCTTCTCCTCCTCCTTTTTTCTAGCTCTTGCTTCAGACTTAACTTTTTTCATACTAAATTTACAGTAGTTAAAGCCTTTGTATTATAGCAAGAGCTCAGCCAGAGCCTTCAGCAAAATTCCAAAGCACTGTCTGACAGCTGAGAGGCTTAGTCACTTGGCATCTTGCACTGACGTGCAGGAAATGCAAATGTCACAAAGTTAATAGCAGGGACCTCAGAATAAGGCATGCTTCAAGTTCTGTTCTGCATAGTCTACAGCCATTCGGCAATAAAGTGGACTTCTTATCTCAAGTAGAATAAACAGAAGTCACAGGTGACTGCTTATTTCAGGTTTAGGGTAATTCCAAGAAACGCTGACTTGGTTATTCTTTTCACGATGTGTTTGAAAGTACAATACAAAGCTCTGAGGGCAGTGAGTCTCCCTACTCTGATCGTGATTTGAGCATGTAGTCCCTTTGTTTCTGAGAACGCTTCTTGTAAGCAGCTAGGTTGCTTACCCAGAAGGAGCAGGGTGCAGCAACATGGCCAGTCCCACGTCAGGCAGTGTAATTTTAGCCTTTCTCACTTCAGTGTGAGTTCAGCAAAAATACCTATGCAAACTTGGGCTGTGCATTCTGCACTCACGTGTTTTGGCACTTTTAGTGGAAAGCAGGCTGGAACTGGGTCAAGAGCATTCAAGGACACTGTACCATCTCAAAGTTTAAGCAAATACATTTAAATGCATTTGCTTCATATGAGTTGTCTATTTCTATCATGTATGGGTGACAGATCATATTGAATATTTATTAAGTAAATCATCAGATAATCACTTTTAATTCCATAGTCATGTTAGGAAGTGGGACTTTCAGCAAAACTCAGTCTATTTTTCTGATCTGCCATATTCAAAGCCTTCTTAATTTGTTTTAAATGTTGGCAGATTTTAGTGACACTGGAACACATGTACATTCTCTGGGATGAGGATTTACTGTGCACTGAAAATACGTGCTTAGATATTTCACAAGTAATTAGCAGGTAATATTGGAAAGAACTCAAAGAAGTGTGCTAACTTTCCATATCCAGAGAAGCATGAAAGGCAGACCAAGTCCTTGCTGAGGAAAGAAAAACAAAACTAGACATTGTCTACCCAGATTATTTCTTTGAGGAACTTTGTAAGCAATGCCAATTTGCACTTGGGTCAGCAATTCCCAAGGAATACTGTGGCTAGAAGGTATTGCTGACGAGGATACTGTTTCTGTCTGCTTTGACATATAACATCACTTTCAGACAATAAAAGCTCACTTTATTATGTTGGTTGTTTTAATTACTACTCTGTTGATTAATGAACTGGCTCTTAAACAACTCTAAGACTGTAAAAGCCTGGGAGCAGAGAAGTTATTCTCTGTAAAATGGTACCTAAATGAGCTACCTCCCTGGTAATTAAAACAAGCTTTATAGACTTGGACTTCCGTAGTTCCATTATCCTCTGAATCCTCTGATGATCCTCTTAGAATCATAGAATCTCTTATTGCAGAAGCCTCCATTCTTTAGAAAGGAAGGCTAAAAATGAAGGTTTCTGGACTCTAAATACTTTGGCATCCCAAGGACATAAGGAAGTACAAAGGTCTTCCAAATGCATTTTTTTTCTAGCACCCAATGATGGGTGGTGTCATTTAGCCTCCTCCTCCCTCATACTCTAATGAACACACCATCCTTTGTTTCACAAAATGGTAAGTTGAGTGTAACTGGCTTAATTTATACTAATGCAGTGTAACATCAACTTGGCCCAGCTGGAGGAATTCTCTTCCTCTGCTTTCCTTTAGCAGTCAGTGACTACTAAACTGTTCTGTGTGCAGTGCAACACTGCTATTAAATATAAACAAAGATGTTCTCTGCACCTCTGTCACTTATTCCCTAAATAGGGATTTAGTTTCTATGGCATTACATATTTTGTCAGAGATGGGAATGTTCTGAACAAAGCAGTTAGTGGATATTTAATCAGCGATTGCCTGTGCAATGCCAGGAAAAAGAAAACATAGCCAGTTATGATGAATCTGTTTATATAGAAAAAGTTGAAGATGCAGAAGCTGGATATTCAATTATATTTATGCAGGTTGTTGTAGGAGGGGTTCCACGAGAAAAAACATGTGTGTAAATCAGAAGCCTTCCCTGATGTTTTGCATCTCTCTTTGAAACCTGTATGTAACGTCTACTCCTTTTCCCACACAGTAAAGGATCTGTTCATTCACTTAGTCATGTATGCAAATCCCCCTTATAAATCCCCCATATAATGTCACATTGAAAATGGTGACTCATTGATCTGGAACGGATTCTCTGCTGAAAGCATGCTTAACTTGGATATAATCTGCATGCGTGTGTGTATATATTTTCTTCCATGTGCTACCTAATGCTTGAGCTTCTGTTGTATCTGTCACTTACACAAGCTGTAATTGAAGAGTAATAATAATAAAGATTAACAAGAATAATGAAAAAGATTTCTATGAAGGGTAAAAGAGAAAAGGACCCAAGTTTAATGAGCACGTGTGCTTTAGGGAACTTTTTAATCAACTCTTAGGTGCTCTCTGGCTCACTTGATTGGCAGCCACCAGTTCTGAAGTCAGTAAGTATTCATATATTAGACTTTGTTGTTGTTGTTCTTTATTTTTAAAGCATTTGTTTTAGGGTTGTTTTTAAAATAGCAGCTGAATATATTTACCTACTCTCATTCAGAGTATGATCTTCCCAAACTTTTAAGCATCTTACCTAGCAGAGACAGAGATACCACTTCACACAGTGTGCTGTGCTGACAGCTCTGGCAGAAATCCCATGTGCAGCAGAAATTAAACAAGTGTTTGCAGGCAAGTCCGTGCATCTCATTGCTGACCAGCTGCTTCACCTTTAGCAGTAGAATGTGAACAGATCTTTAGAGCCCTGTAAGTCCTTGTCTCTAAGAAAAAATTGCCAACAGTATGAAATGTGGAGATGTGTTTTGAGGAAGAAGGAGTGTTAGGATATCTCTGGTAGTCCATGAAGTGCTGAAGTGAAACTATGGACTTGTTCTACATGGGCTACTGAACAGTCATGGAGTAGCCATCCTTATTAACACCATCCCTTTGAAAGTGTTCCCTTGCTTTGAGGCTTTGAGGCATTCAGTCTTACAGAAAATCTTGCCTTTGTACAATTGTAGAGCTGTGGTGTCTCCCAAAGAGGGTACAACACCACTCTAGGCAGCCAGTGCCAGAAAGAAGTCCTTGAAGTTAGGAATAGGGATGGAGGTCTGGGTTTGCCTCTCAGCAGCACTGGACTGTGACTGTAGGCAGAAGACAATTGGATTTATCATTTGTGGCACTGAGGGACGTGGTTTAGTGGGCATGGTGGTGATGGGTTGATGGTTAGACTGGATGATCTTTGTGGTCTTTTCAACCTTAATGATTCTGTGATTCTGTGATCTGTCTTGTATGCCTCACAGGTGGATTGTGAAGGTTTTCTTAGTGGTGTGTGGTCTTCTGATTTTGTACTTATTTTTCTATAAGGTTTCTGAACCCAGCCTGCCTCCACGGATCCTTGTTGGCCATTCTCAAGAGGTTACCTCCATTGCTTGGTGTCCTTCAGACTTCACCAAGGTTTGTTTTCTGGAAAACTTTCTTCACTGTGAAACAACAGATGTGCTATGGCAACATTTGCCTTTCAAAATTACAGCAATGTTAGTTTATTTGGGAGGAAGTTCTTAATTAATAATTTCCAAACATGCTCACTTTTTTAGGGCAGTGAACCAAACTTGTTACATGAATATATCAGAACTTCTTCATTATTCTTTAATAATTTGGGCTATTTGATAAGACCTAGCAAACTGTAAATGAACAAAGACTTCTGATTAGAACTTGTCTTATTACCTGTGAGAGGCAAAGTTGTGAAACCATTTCACTGAATCTTTCAAAAGCCAAAAGCTTGCTTTGTGGCTCCATACATAACTGCCTGACCACTGATCTATCTACCAGTCTGGTAGAGAGTGGTAAGACATATGCTCTTCAAAAATCATGTAGAATCTTCCCTCATGACTGTTCTTATACTCAGAACTGTTTTCCTAACAAATATTTGCATATACATCCAAAAATTCATAGTGAAATTGTCAGTAATAATACTCCAAGTATCATTAGAAGGAAGGGAATTGCAGGAGGATGTTGGTTTAAATGATTGATTAGATCAAAATGAGAAGTAATCCTAATTAATCCTAGACAGTACCCTAATAATAGTTCCTTGCACTTCAGTGTTATTAAGCAAATCGGACACTTTGCCCAGCTTTCACTGCAGCACCAGGTCTTCAGAAAAGCTTTACACAATGTAGGAGAGTGGAAGTCTTGCAGGCAAACAAGGATAATTGTTTTAGCTATGTAGAATGCACAATGGTATGTGAATTGGCATTTTAGATGAAATCTGTTGTCTGTGTGACCTAAAGTCCTGATCATAGTTTGGAAATGCGGACCAATACAGCCTTTAAAATCTATACTAACACAGATAAAAATTAGTTAGTCACAGTACAGATCATGAGGTGTGAAGAAAGTGAAGACACTGTGCTAAGAAAGGTCAAGAAGCTGCTTTGAATGATTTGAGAGGCCAAGTTGCTTTCTGTGAGCGTGATATTGGTGTCACAGAGGTCACAGTAGAGGTACTTTCCTATCCAAGATTACTGTGATCTTCAGCCACAGCATTTCCTTCTTGCTGATGATTCCCATGTGAGTCACCAGATAACCTGTACAAAGAGAGCTGTACAAGAGTAGATTAGATGCTACTCCTTGTTTGAAATAGATTGCACGGATCATTTTGGAACACATGAAGCCACAGCAGGAATCTAGGCGAATGTTTCCAGCAGGGTTGGTTTCTCTGCCAGATACTGCTGACATCTGAGTCTGTAGAGATAGCGCCTAAGGCTAATGCAACAGCCTTCCAATGTCACCTTCTCTATGGTTGTGAAAGTTTGTCCCCAGGCAGAAAAGGTCCTGAATAACAGACAGACAGAGGTGCAGGTGCAAGAAGCAGCATGGCTACTTTTAGCTACTGAGCAATGGAAATTGCAAAACATGCACTGGCCCTTCCTGAGCAGGCTGTTCTCTGTTACAGAGCTGTACAAAGCATATGGTTACTGGTGACTGGGATTTCCCTATAAGATTTGATTTCCCCTTCAAAGCAAACACTTGTCTGTGGTACAGTAGTGGAATAGAGTTGGGTTATTCTGTTTGTTTAGCAGGCAAATCTTGTATCCTCCTCAACCAGATTTCGCCGTGCATACATGTTGGCATGGTGTGCTGGGTGTAGCTGTCCTAGCTCATTTGGCCTGTGACCCACAGAATGTGCCTAGGCCATTCCCCAAATGCATTTATATTGTAGATTGCCACATGCTCTGATGACAACACCGTAAGGATCTGGCGCCTACAACATTGTCCCGAGGAGGAAAAGTCAGTGTCCAACAAAGCCAAGTTGGTGGGCTGGGTCACACAGAAGAAATCGGAAGAACAGGGTGGAGCAGGTAAGGCCCCTGTGATATCTTGCTCTGCAGCATGGCTTCTGAAATTTGGCTGCTCACCAGCGAAATCCTTTGGCTTGTCCTAGTCTTCTATTTTTTCATATTAGGCAATAGTTCATAAAGCCAGCCAAACACTTCTACTTGTAAATACTTCTACTACCACCAAGATGAGCTGGCTGAAATAGCTTACAGTATGCTGAAGTGTGCATGACCAGCTTGCAAAGTAAATATTTATTAATATAACTTGTCAGGCAGCCAGGTCTTCAGTGGGGCATCAGCAGTGTTTGATAATTGAACGGCCAAAGGAGATGTCATGTGTGCATGGACTTCTTCAGCCAGTGGAGCTGGAAGCCAGAATCACCTGCTTCACAGTTGCATTCTTACAGCTCCAGCTAAAAATGATTTGATCGTTAGCTGTAGCAGCAAGTCATATTTTTTCATATCAAATGGTAACTGAGAGAAGTAAGATCATGTTCTTTTTCCAGTTTCATATTTTACCCTGTAAAGGGCTGATGGCACAGCGTGGGAACTCTGAATTTTTTTTCTCCTGCCCAGTTGTTAAACTGTGGACAACATTCTTTGCTGCTGCTATTAATTTTACATCTCATTGTAACTGACTGTCCATGCAGACAAATGGCAGTTAGTGGAAGTACTTCAAAAATGCGTGTAGAAAATCACAATGTGATCTTAATGTTCCAACATTGATAAATCATGTCCATCAATTCAGATGCATTAGTTTTCTACACAGCCTAGGTGATCAGACAAACCATCCAGCATGTTCTCACAGCTAGCAGGCAGATCACGGCTCTGCCATGCTTAGGAATGTCTAAGGTTGGTCAAGTTCATGATAATACATCTAAAGAGCTGCCAGCAGGAAAATTCAGCTAGATGCCTGTAGTGAAGCCTTCATTGTGAATTGCTGCTGGAAGAGGAGCAGCTCACTGGGCAGTACCCCAGCGAAAAGAAAGGAATCCTGCGCTGTAGTGTTACTTTGACTTGCCTGAAACTTACATTTTGTTACAGTAAGGTGGGTGAGAGGCGAATAACCCTGACAAAGAGAAATAAGAAGAGCTTCTCTGTAGTGTGACTTTGAAACTTGTAATACAATAGCTTTCCAGCAGCTGTTGATGTGAGTTCCTCTATTCTACCTATCTTTTCTAGCCACCCTCTGAATGAATTTTACTTTGGCTAACACAAATAAAGGCTGAAGGTCTCCAAATCCCACTAATTGGATAATATTACATCTAACCTTTTGCCAGTGAGTAACAGTCTTGCAGGAAGTTTGCAAGACAATAGCAGGGAGAGTGCCAGCTCTGCTCTGTAGGTGGTATATGGTTTGTGTGTGCATTCACATTGCTTCAGAGGGGGCTGAGAAGTACACTTTGTGTATTAATTTCTGCAAAAGAGAAGTAAATGTGAGTCTAGTGTAGAAGTCTGAAATCTAAAGTGATTTGTATGCTAAAACTTTACAAGTCAGCTTCGGCAATTATACTGGAAGAATAGCTTATTTCTCCTGGTTCTTGATGCATTAAAGCAACACAGGAGGAAAAAGGAAGTACACAGACACTGCAAACACAACAGCAGGCTTCCTGCTGACCTTGGCTCTTGAACACAAGCACGTGCTGTTAGAATATAGGAGTTATCTGCAGAGATTGATTCAGAGCTGACAACTAAGTAGTATTTCAGACCTGCTGGGATGACATCTAGGTAGTTTTCCACCCATTTGTGTGAAATGAATTGTGAAGCTGAGGATGTGCATTAACTGTTGACCTATATTATGAAGTATAGGAAGCAGAGTTTCCTTTTCTTTGGAAACTGATTCTGTGGTTTCCCTAATTAGCAGTACTTTCTCTATGCTTTTGTGTAACCAAATTTCTGGAGCAGGCCTGCACATGGAAAATTCATGACTCTTATATCTGGAGATTCATAATACCATTCTAGAGAATTTGCAGCAGAGAAGGTGGGAAATATCTGCATTGGTGTTATGCAGTTTGACTGCAGATGTTTACAGTATGCAGAAACACGCAATGCTACGTGGAGTGGCAGCATGAAGGGAAACAGCTTGAGGCTGGCTCAGCAGAAGCCTGAATAATGTATGCAGTTACAAAAAAGCTTCATGTTCATCTTCCTTCTTTTAAGTTTGGGGATGTAACTAGTTTGCATTTTGCCCCTCCAGCTCTCATAACAGCTTTTTCTGTTATCCAGGGTCTCCACAGTGTAGTATTCACACTGGTATAGGATTGAGAGTGCTCAAACCCAGCTGGTCATGCCACATTTCTGCTGTACGGATTTGTAGATGGTCATTAGAGAATGAGAACTGCTGAGCTTGCTTCTTTTCTTCTACCTCTAGGAGCTTAATTTTGAAAATACATTGGGTTCCCCAACTGAGATATTATTGTTCTGTAAGTGCTCATTAAAGTGAAGATTAAGAGACCCAATCTTGGCAATGATTTTCTCTTAGTCCAAGTTGAAATAAGTTATTATGAAGTAGCACATTTTGTCTGGGAAGGAGCCTTTAATTCTCTCTTTGCTTTAAGGTGATTTGTAGTGGGATCAATTAATACGGTGTCATATTCCTTTTTCTCTCATGCATCAGCCCTTTATTTTAAAGGGCTAGATAATGTAATAAAAGGAAGGATCAAAAGAGGCTTATTATGGCATCAAAGAGTCATGTAGGTGTTCACTTGACATGTTATTTGTGAGACAGCCCAACATCCTAAAGAAAATGGCAGGTTATTCACACTAGATTTCTCATTGTCCTAATGAAGTACTTTACAGCAGCTAATGTTGAAACTTAGGAGTTCAGTTTAAGCCTTTGGAAAATAGAAAACAGCCAGAGCTCTCTTGCTCAGGAGTGGAAATGCTTGGAGTAATTAATATGCTATCCTACTTAATTGCATCACCCCAAGTTAGATGAAAGAGAAAGCAGGCATCTAAGAGACCTGTTGATGTGTCTCTGTTGGAGGGTCCCATAAATAAAATAATTCTCTAATATTGCTGCAGACTGAGATCTTTGCTATATGTGATTCCCACTGTTACTGTTAAGGTCCTCGGTGAGGTCTCAGGTGTAAAGCTACCTATGACTACTGTTTTAATAAGCTGGGTTTTCAGAAGCTGCTTCTTTAAAAGCAGGGGATTTTAACAGCTTGTCTAGTGAGCTCCAATGCCATTGTGACATATTTGTCTGGGGATCATTTGTTTTAAAGAAGCCCAGTGACAGATTTTTATTTTCATGGGAATTTAAATTTTCTTGCTGGAGAGGTGAAGAATTTCTCACATGTCATTGGGTGTGGTAAATAACTACCATCTTTGTCCTAATATAACACTGCGGAAAATACTCCATCAAAAAGACAAGAAGGTGAAAGCATATACTTTCCCATTCTCATTTTTTTTAATCTTAAAAAATTGCAATTATTAACACTTGATTAGGAGCACTGTTCATATGGTATGGCATTGCAGAATAAAGCTTTCCTGGTATAATTAGCTATGGGACCTGGTTGCAGTACCTTTGTCCCTTCATTCAATCGTGAAACTGTTAAAGATTGGGCAGATAGGCTGACCAGCTGCAGATAGAAAGCCAGCCTTGTTTTCAGGCAGCTTCCCAAAACAGAGCTGTCTGGACTGAGCTATTGCAAAGCTGCCAGCAAGGCTAGATAACTTAGAAGATTCAATATCTGTTTTTTCTATCCATTAGTCCCTCAGTTGCAGCTTAAGTAAGGGTTCTAATCATAGAAGGAATAAAAGTCAGACATTAATGTACCAATGTACTGTGTTATACTTAGCCAAGCGATACAGGATTCTAAGGAGGACTTGTGTCAGTTTAAGTGATAAAAGAAACATCCATGCAATCTAATTCAGCAAGGTGTATCTGAGAATCAGGGCCAGCACTGAATTAATATCCTAGCTGGGACAGATATTTATGAAAGGGCTGTCTTTAATCTGCTGCTCTGTGTTCCTCATTAGACTGCTTATTTTTGCTCCGTTAGGACGTTCAGCCAGCCCACAGAATACTCCTGCCAAGGCCTTCTCAGTGAGCAACCCATGTGCTTCCTCACCGCGTCCAGCTGCCTGTGCTCCCAGTTATTCTGGAGATCCTCTTTCTACAAACACTCCAACAGTCTCTCTCAAAACTCAAATGGCCACAGTCTGTACACCAGCAAAGCTGAGTGGAACCAGCCCACGTGCTTCTCCCAAACTGGTGCCTTCCTCCAAAATGTCCATTAAACACTGGATTGCCAGGACTTCATGCTCTTCCCCAGAAGTAGGGAAAAAGACACCTTCTCCTAGAAAAGCCCTGGCAGAAGTCACACAAAGTCTCCTGGAAACACCTAGCACTCCTAAAGCACAATACTCACAGGCTGAGAAGCGTGCCAAGAGAAGGCTGGACTGCAGCAAGGAAGATGAAGCAGGGCAGAAGTGTCTGCAGGCCTGTAGCTGTGTGACTGAACTGGACCGTGTGGCTAAGAAGTCCAAGCTAAATTTATGTCACTTGGCTGCAGGCCAAAGAGCTTGTGATGAGGGCTCTCTAAGTCTGGCTGACTTGGATAATGAAGACTCGAGCCACAGCCCAAAAGAGCTTTCTTTTCCTGGAAGCCTTGTTAATCCATCCGGCACTCAAACTCCCCCTCTTGTTTTGCAGTCTCCCTGCGAGAGAGACTCAGAGGTAGTAGATAAAGAGAATAGTTCACCAGAAAGGAAAAACTGGCTGTCTGCTCTGGGAGAGAAGCTACGGACTGGCAAAGCTGGCAGCCCCCCATCATCTTCCAACTCCAGCGCAAAACGTCAAGAGGCTGCAGTAGTGACCACCTCACCGAAAACTGTAAGTAGGATGATCAGGGACAGTGGTAATGAAAGAAGTTATCCCTCGCTACCACTGTCCCCTTTCTACATGGTCAGATCCCTCTTACTCAAACATTTGGAGAATTGTCTGTTCTCTTTGATTATGGGCAAGAGATATGATCTCTCACCTAATAATCTAGGTATATTAATGCTGCAGTATACTAATCCCCTCCATGCAGGAGGAGAATTCTTAAGATGGTCTCGTACCTCCTTTGAAAAGGACTTAGAGCACACAGGAACTAAGAAATCCTCATAGTTCCCAGCTGGATGTTTGAAGGATGTGGCTGTCTTCTGAAATACAGCTCTTCTCTGAGAAGCACAATAATGACAGCACCTTTCCTGGCAGATCTACTGTTCAGTGTCACATCTGCATGTTTATATTATTGAAAAGCTGCTTCAGCATTGGAAGAAAGAGTTACATTTTATTCTAGCCCAAGCAGCAAAACAGTTTTTTACCCATGTTAAAACCATGAGCTAAATAATGCCTCCAGTTCTTTCTACTGAAAACTAACAGAAAACAAAGGAATCGCAGAGGAGTCAGAGGGTGGGATTTGACCTACATAATCTTAGTTTTGATATACGAGAAACCTGTCACTGAGCTCATCCTAGGATCTGAACGATAAGCTCATAAAGCAGCTACAAAAGTTGGCACGAGGGCTTGAGGATTTAACACACATACTGAGAAATTGCACATTTAAAAAACAAACTAAACTCTGAAACTGGGCTCTTGGTCCTAAAGCATCTTTGAATATTATTTCAGTATTTTCCAAGTAAATTTTCAATTGTCATATTTTCATTATACTTTCAAGTGAATATTTGATCCTAGCAGTTGTTGCCATGTTTAAGGCTTATTTTGCTGAAATATCTCACATCTCCTTCAGCACTTCTACAAGATGTGAAGTGTGCAAACCACCACACCTTGGGTTACAGCAGTTGAACTCTTCATCTTGTAGTGGTACCAAGAAAACTTGGAAGTGCTTGTGATTTACAGACAGTAACCTGCTTAAACATAAGACAAAGATTTGCCCCAGAGAGTGATTACCATACAAAAATTATCTCTCCCACAAAGTATATTCTAGCTCAAATTTTGGGAGCTCAGTGGCCTCAGTGAAGCTTGTCAAGGTGCCCAGCAGCACTCATTGGTCCATTGCATCTCGGAGATCCACAGCCCTGATATCTGTGGTAGGGAAGGTGGAGCTGCAGTCAGACAAACCTAGTTTTTAGACAGTGTTTCCTGTAGGTAGTAAGCTTCTTATCTGTGAGAGAAACAGATTACAGTAAAGAACCTTTCATTTACTGTCTTATTTAAGAAGCAAAACAAACTGGAGCAGTGATGGAGGGGAGACTTTAAGAATTATGCAGCATACAAACCATTAACTCAGAAACATTTCTTGTTGGTTTTGTTTTTTTTATAGGCTGTAACCACTTCAGTTTCCATGAGGAAGATCTGCACGTACTTCCACAGAAAGCCACAGAATTGACTGAAGTAGTGTGTGGCTGTTGCACCTGATCATGTTGGATGTTGACACTGGTATTGAGACCAGATTTAGCACAGCTGACAGAGCAATATACCAGCATTACAGTTTGTTGTTGGACATCGGTAAACTCTTCTGTTTTAAAGCTAATAATACTTGAAATCATCAGAGCATGGAAGATTAGTATGATACGTAGAGACTCCTGCTCTTGTATTCATGTCAGGTAATGGATCATTTTGATAGAGAAAACAGTTATCTTTTACATGACAACTGTTATAAAGAGAGCAACTGCATATTGCTGACAGGCACATGAAGCTTATCCTTCAATGTTACTAGTCTGGTGCCATTGAAACTTTCTTTATTTAAGAATACTGTGTGAGGCATTGTGCCCTCCAGAAAAGCAAATGTTGTGTGTCCAGAAGCCCATTCTGGAGGAAGAGCTGAACTACTTTGTGCTGAATGGCATTTCCAGTTAGTCCTCCTCCTTACAGCACCAACTACTCAATTCCAGCAAGAAGGTCTTGAATATTTAAATACAAAAGAATTTTAAATGCCCTTGTGTCCATCTCCATTCAATGGCACAACTGGTGATTGTAGTCTAAAAGAAGAGAGGGTATGATCGAGTACTTAATGCCTTTACTTTTCTTGCCATTGCTTTCTTTCTCAAATGCTGAAAACTTCAGTAATTACCAAAATAGTTGGCTTTTGGACCATCAGCACTAGAGCTGTAGAGGCCAACAGCTTGTCACTTCTCTGAAATAAAATATTGGCAAGTTGTGTTACAAAAATTATTGCCAAACAGCATTCCATAACAACTGGTTGCTCGGTGACTTCTTACAGATTCAGCCTGAAGCAAAGGCATTAATAACTGCTTGTAAAATACCTTTATGACACTTTTATAATACAGTATTTATTAAATAATAGCTTGTAAATGGGGGGCCACTTCACATTTTAGAAAGCACTTCACAAAGTTTACAGATTAATATTTTACGTGCTTTGCCATCTCAAAGTCATCACTGGTACTGGTAGAACAAGATCACTAGCTGAAATAAGTTCACTGGCCTGCTGGCTAATGATACTGAATCCAAGGTCATTGTTTCCACAGGGGTAGCTTGTAGATTTGTATGTTAGATTTGAGCATTTACTCTGTTTTTTGGTATGATGGTTTCTATAAACTTAAAAAATAATTAAATAAAAAATTACAATCCCAATTAAGTCTTTTTACTGCAAAAGTGCTAAGGGATTTAAAGGGGATATGTTTCAACTAACCCATGTTTTCTGACTGAAGTTTTCCCACCTACTTTACAGCATTGAAAAGTGCAGTAACTGAAAGGATTTAAATGCTCGTTTGTTTTATTTGCTGTGGATTATATTTTGCAAGGAAATAAATGACATGAAAGGAACTGGCTTTTGTAAAAGTTCTCTCACAGTTACAAAGCAAAAGTAAATGGGCAAAAAAAAACAAACACTACTCATCATCAAGCTGCAGCTTTTAGTAAGAGCACTTGCTATGTTTAAGGACCAGGAAAACTTCCTCTTGTTTACTAAATTACAAGGCATTACTGTATGAGCTTTGAGGAGATGTTATTAAGTTAGAAGAAAGCAGGAAAGAGAGTGTAGTTCTTTGGACACTTTTTTATAGTTCTTAATTTTTAAAAAAACGTTTTTTAAACTGATTATCTGAATAAATATTAACCTGAATAAAACAAGAATAAAAAATTCTGTTAGCTTAATATTAACATACTTTGTGTAGATGGAAGTAGCAAAGAAATATAACAAAGGCAACCTAGGAGGTTTGTGATTTAATTCTGTCTTAATTACAATTAATCAGAGAAACTGTTCAGCTTGCCTACAGCCAGTTTTCTGTGCAGGATTTTTCTATTCAGCTTGTAAATAACTTGTTGCAGAATAAGCAGATGTGGACCCTCTCAAAGTATTTAAGTGTTTTGTCAGCCATTTCAACAGTGATAGGGTTTTATGTTCCACCATACCTTCCACAATATTTTCCTCTGGCAGGAAAGTTCTACACCCAAAATGTTATCTCTTGTATATTGTTAACAGCTGCCTAGTGATGATTTACACTGACGGTGTACCTCTTAAATGAATAATCTTAACTGGGAATGTCAGAATTTTTCCTTTTAAATAGTACATATTTAGTGGAACAATTTGTTTTGTGGACCATCAGCTGTAATTTCTTTCACCTTAAACTGTTGCCAGCCTGTTTCAGAGAAGTAAAGAAGTAAAATAACTGAAGTTTACATTCTTCTGTGTCAAAGTGCCTTGATCTCAATGTGATAAAATAATGACTGCAGGAGCACAGAAGAAGAATCACATGTACAAATCACATTTCAAATGATTTAAGGTAAGCAGTGCTCCCCCTGAGACACTTGTCAAACTAAGTATCGAGGGCTATGAGCTGTTGTTTTGAGCTAGCAAGCCATATCTCTAAATTATCTTTCTGAAAGTTTGATAAAAAACTCTACTCCATGGTTGAGAGGGGTCTCCCAAACCCTATATATATGAAGGTCTCGTCTTATGCATCTTGCAGGTTTTTTCCCCCCAAAAAATTTTTTTTTAAAAAAGCAAGATTATAACAGGAAGACCTATTACCCCAGGCTAGTGCTGGTAGTTAGACTTAGATATAAATTCAGGAAAGGGTTATGCATAACGACGTTCAAATACCCTGTTACATTAACTTTGACCCAACATCTTTAACTCTGCTTAAGTTACAGCACTTCTTAGTTTTCTCCCGAGTTAAAGACAACAGGTGATCACAGGTCCACACCTGTACCTAAATTATTCTAGAGGTGAAATACTCACTGTGAAAAGGTTCTGATGTGCATTTTGAATTTGTTTATTTTTCAGTTATTACTTCAGACTATTTTATTTATTTATTATTTGTTTCATTTAGGTTAAAGATATTTCTGTTAATTTTCATGGATTTACTGGTGGAGGAAGTGACAGTGTGTATGTGAGATTAAGGAATCTACTGGATTCTTGAAAACGTGTCTGAAATAAATGAAATGAGTCTTGATTTGTTTGTATAGGCTCTGATTTGCTGTAGGCAGTTGATAGCAAGGTGGTCATGTGAAAATTGAGAGTGTTGCATTACTAGAAATTGGTTGTTTGCAATTATTCTAAGAAGTGGGACTGCAATGATAAACAGAATGCTGACGTTGGCAGAATTGAGCAGAGGAAAAATTACTCCATGTAAGAACAAAATTGAAAGAACAAAGTACATTGCATAAGAGGTGCCACTGGCAGGAGAAACAGCTTCACGTGCTTGTTGGGTACATATAAGAAAGATTAGGGCCTGAGGCCCACTCGGTGCCTCCGTATTAGGCTCCCATCCATATCCTCCAGTTTCTTTCCTCTGCACATGGGAACAGTTGTCCATACTTGCCAGCCCACTCTGACTAAGTGAATGCAATCTGGAAGGCTGCTGTCTGTTCCCCATCCCTGGAGGCACTCACGGCCAGGTTGGATGGGTCCTTGCGCAGCCTTTGCTGGGGGGGCAGTCCTGTCCATGGCAGGGAGTTGGGATTGGTGGGCTTTAAGGTCCTTTCCAACCCAAACCATTCCGTGATTCTGTGATGAGAAGGCAGCTGGGAAAGAATTAGACATGAAAGTGAGTTTTCAGCTGTTCTATGAGTAGCTCTGATCACATGTGTGGCTGTTAGTGGGCTCCCGCCAGCCTGCAGCTGAGGGAGCAGCTGATGGTGCCCTTTGGCAGCCTTCTCACCTTGTCTCACTTCCGGACTGCCACAAAATTGGACTCTGCTTTCCCACTGCTCTTGGGCCTTTCACAGTGTAGGCTGTGGGCTGTGTTCCCTCACCTAAGTAGGCTTAAGCAGGCAGCACGGCGCCTAACTGGATGTTACTTCAGCACACTCTCTGGTCTTGATGGGCCTTTTCTGCACATATGGCACAGGTAGGCAACCAAATGGCTCTTCACCCTGGTTTTCTCAGGTATCTGCTCCCTCATCTGCTCCAGCAGTGGGCCTTGGGGTTTGTTGCAGCAGTTTTCATAGGCACATTAGAGTTGGGAAAGGCCTCTAAGATCACCATATCCAGCTCTCAGCCCATTATCCTCATGCCTGTCGACCACGTCGCTCATTACCACACCTGCATATTTCTTGAACACCTCCAGGACGGTGACTTCACCACATCCCTGGACAGCCTGTGCCAGTGCATCATGTCTATTTCTGAGAAGAAATGTTTCCTAATATCCAACCTGAATCTCCCCTGGTGCAACTTGAGGCCATTCCCTCTCATCATTTCACTGTTACCCAGGAGAAAATACTGATCCCCACTCACCACCACCTCCTTTTAGGCAGTTGTATAGAGCAGTAATATCTGCCCTGAGCCTCCTCTTCTCCAGACTAAGCAATCCCAGCTCCCCTTCAGGTCCTTCCCGTAAGACTTGTGTTCCAGACCCTCCACAGCTTCGTTACCCTTCTCTGGACACACTCCAGGCTCTCAGGATTTTGGTAAGAGCTATGGGCAGGTTTCATGCCAGGCTGGTCTGTTGTCATGTAATATGCTGTTGGTTTATTTTCGAACTGGCCAAAGTTCCTGTTAAACTCAAGTCAGCTGTGTTTACAAATACTTCATTGTGTAATATACTAAAGATTTTTCACAGTGTTTGAGCAGGGCCAAAAATCTGCAGCTGAGAAATTTCCATGTAATATGCATTAGAAAAGTGTTACCTTAAATGAGTAATGGAAATTATTTCTGCTCCAGGAAGCAAAATGATGCTGAATGAACGAGAGAAGAGGGTTTATCCTTTCACCCTTGTTTTGTGTCTCACCACAGCACAAGGCTGTGCCAGAACATGTTCCCACAACCTTTCAACCCATTTAGCACAGTGTGCAACTTTCGGACTATTTCTGTGTATTGCACTCAGTGATTAAGTGCTGGGGACTGTGATAATACATCCTTTCACCAAACACACACAGCAGAATGCCATCTCAGCTGCTCCCAGACTGTTTTTCCAGTTACTCTTCCTAAAAACCTGATTATCAATAGATTATCCTTCTGATCATAAGGGCGTAAACTTGGAGATGTATTGTTCCTGGCTGGGACTCCATCTCTTAGTAATCAAATATTATTCTTGTTGACAGTACGATCTTTTCATCTAACTGAAGCCTGTTGCAGGCTGCCTTTGCCTATAACACAGATGAAGTGGCTCCATGGCTGCAGAATAACCACTGCGGGTGTGAAGCAGGATGGCTATTTAATTGTACAAAGCTAGAGTACACAGTGCTTTCTCTAACACCCCCAGTTGTGTAGTGGTATGTTAGCTTTGCTTAGCTTTCTCAGTCTCCTTACTAAATATGCTATAGCACTTCTCGTGGTTTAAGCTTGGTAGAAAAAACAATTTCTGCTGTGAAAGATTTTTCCATCACTCAGCAAGACTGGGGCACTGTGAACCCCACTAGCACAGCAGAGTTGCCAGTACAAGAGTTAGCATCAAACCACTGTGGTTTGCCGAATTTGTTGACAGTGGAAGAAAGTTTTCTTTTCTGAGTTGAAGATCTGTAATGCAGCACAAATACATCATCAGAACCAGTCCTGTAATGCCGGCTGACAGCAGTCAAGGAGCAGCACATCCCTGGTGACTGATTGGCAGCCAACTGACAGCTCACAACCTAAATCACCTCCATGTCATGTAGCACCTGGTGAAGAAAGGAAAACAAAACCAAAATGATACTATTACCATCAGAGTAGAGAAGTACCCAGCACAGTAACATGGACAGGTACCAACAAGATCAGGTACCAGTCATTTGGTTCTCACCTGTGCAGAAGAGCATCTTCAGTATCTTGTACTCTTAAGGAGCCGTAAGTGATGTGTGAATACAGGAGGCAAGTGGACCTTTGAGGATCTCCAGCATCAAGGAACATTTAAACATTAAGACCTAGGTCAATAAATGGAGAGGAGTAATTGTAGGTAGCTAGGCTCTAGATCCTATCCTGTGCAGGTGAAGAGCCTCTACCCAGAGTCAGAACACGAGGCCGCTGGGTAGGTTTTCCATACAGGTGTTTCTAAACAGGATCAGGCCATGGAGCCACCATGTTCTCAAGGGGTCTCTGCAAGCCCAAGTGCTGCCTGATGGCAGATCCAAGGGTAGATGTAGTTGAGTTTCCATGCCTATCTTTTACCCTCCTTGCTAGGTACCCCACTTGGGCATCATCATCATATCATCATAAACACACTAGAAACCTTTTTTCATTCGGGGGAACTACAGAGGTTGAGTTAATGAGAATACAAATCTCAACTCTGTTCAGCTCTGGGAAAGGAAAGACTAGTGTCGTCAAGCAGAAGCCCTGGATGCTCTTCTTTAATACTTAAAACTCACTGGTTAATCAAATCATCAGACAGATCAATTTGTGAAAACATTTGCTGCTCTCCATGCCCTGTGCTGCAACACTTGCACATTGATTGTCTTCCATCACTGAAGTCCTGCTGTGTAAATCAAACATTAACATGTTAGTCTCTGCAGCATCCAATCATGGCAAAAAGATACCTTAGAAGCATTTTTTCCTATTCAACTGTAAGTACTGATGTATTTTTTTATATTTCTATGATCAATACCCATCTTTAAATAAGAGACACCTACCACCCTTCCTGTGAAAGCATTTCAAAGCATGGAGAAAGCAGAAAGCCCATATTATGGAGAGGGGAATTGATGCCAAAAAATAGGATGCAGACAGTATCATGTGAACCCAACAGAAAAGCAGAAACACAGTAGATAAATGTTCTTGTATTTTTCTTGTCTAATTTAAACCCCAAAACGATTGAAGCACAGCATCAGCAAGAAAGCATTCTGCTGTCTTACATTTTGAATGGTATTTTACATGACCACATTTGTGCATTTCTAAATAAAATCTTCTTTGCAGCAGACTGCAGCAGCCAGCTTCACACTTTTTCAAAGGAAAAGCTTCACCTTTGCTGTTCCTTGCCAGTACACCTCATTTAAATTGAGCCTGGCTTTTTGATGACCGCCCAAGGAGGTTTCTCTGCAACGTGAGGAGAACTGCTGCACAGGGCTCGCTTGTTCCAAAGTGTGCTGGAGGGGTGCAGAGAAGTGTGTTGGCAGGGGAAAGAATACACAGTGCAACCCAAGCAAGCAACCTGACCTCGCCAGCCACAGTTTGCTGTCCCCAGGCAGCTTTCACACAGCCGTGATGCGTGCAGGCAGATTGGAAGCACAGCTCGCAGTCCCAGGCAGCCCCACCTCAAAAAAGCAAGACAGAAATGCCCACAGAAAAAAAGAAGAGGCATGCTCACTGGGTTGTAGCTAACCCCAATGGTTTCTTCTGCCACTTTTCTGATTTTTTTGGTAGGCTCTTGCATTTCTGAATCTGCTGCATACAGCAGGAAGTTATGGTCTGTGTTTAGCCTTATCGCAGATGATGAATTTTGCATAGCAAGCCTGTGAGTGAGTCACTTGCTACACCAGATAAAGCACTGTGCCAGGCACACTCCAAGGATACCCGCAAGTGTCCACAGGGCAAGAGCCTTGAGGCAAGCCCTCCCTTCCGCAGGGCTCTCTGCAGGCTGTCTTACACTTCTGTGCTTGTTTCTCCTCCCTTACAGGGGGGGTTGTTCCTCTCCATTTCACCTAATGCTGGAGGAGATTGCCCCTTGCCAAATGCATAACAATTATGGAGGGAGAGGGACATCTCTGGAGACGCACTTTGCTCCAGCTGGTGGAGAGAGGAGAATGTACACTGCTCCCAAATTCATAGTGTTAATGTAACCACAGGCTTCCTGCCTTGGAGCTGGGAATGCCAGAATACACTCAACAGTCACCTCTCACTCTTCCTGGCACCTCATTGGGGATGATAGGGGCCCAGGGAAGGATCACTGCAAAACAGCCTGCAAATAGTAATTCATCCATTCAAGGTCTTAAGCAAAGGTGAATTATGTTGCTTCAATCTCATGCTAATTTGAATACTCAACAAATCTCTTTTCACAGAATCATAGAATTGTAGAAACATTAAGGTTGGAAAATACCATTAGGATCATGTAGTCTAACCATCAACCCATCCCCACCATGCCCACTAACCCATGTCACTCAATGACTCATCTCCACGGTTCTTGAACACCTCCAGGGAAGTGACTCCACTTCTTCTCTCGGCAGCCTGTCTTTATTATCAAGAAACTTAGGCTGCTACTGTTTCTATTCATCGATTTAATTTTCAGAAATCAGAGAATAATGTCATTCTTATGTTTCACTATATGGGTGAAGAGACAACATACGGATGAAGAGGGAAAACTTGTTTTCAGGATGGAAGATGGTAAAATTCACAGGAGGAAAATCAAACACTGAGAACTGGCCTTTGAAATCAGACAGATCTCACTGTACAGATGTTGTTCTGCTGTAGTCTGCTGCAGAAG